ATTAAAATTAAGGTCAGGAAAATGGCACCAGAATAGCCATTTTTCACAGCATATCAGCTTCCTGGGTGGTGGCTTCTCCTGCACCTCGCGTCCTCATTCACAAACCTGAGTGGTAGCCTTTCCCACTTGGTCTGTGCTCATTCTGCCAAATGGTAAATGATAATTAAGCGAATGGCACAGATCCTGTGTTGTCTCATTATACCTGCTCACTATGCTTTCACTGCTGTTACCCCAGCAGGACTCATAGCTCTCTGTGGTTACCATCACTAACCTGCCTGACATCCCTACAGTGTTTCATGTAGGGAAGAGTTATTACCCCCCCCCACTTTATATGTGGGGAAACTCAGGCACAGAACATGGCTTACCAAAAGTGTCAGAGGTGGCAGAGCAGGGAATCAAACCCAGGTCTCCCAAGTCAGAGGCTAATGTCCTAACCACAGGACAGCCCTTCCTTTCTCTAGCAGACTGAACGGGCGTCTGCAAAACTGCACATTTCTAAATGCAGAATCTTCATTGCTGGTGAGAGTGTGAGAAGCTGGATGAATGTGGATGGATTTGCAGATCCTAAGTAGAATTTCAGTGGCAGCTCTTCAAATAATTCCAACCTTTCCCAAAAGCCATTCACTTAATGAGTGTTAGAAAGGGGGCTCTAAAAACAACCTGGCACAAGGTGCGCTATCTTCTCTGCTGCCCCACCCCTTCCCATCCCCTTTGTATTTCCTTCTATCTCATCCTGGAAATAAGGATGAGAACACTTGGCTGGATAGATACTTACCTAAATTCAGATTAAGCCCCTCGATCCACTATGGAAGCCGCAAACAACCGTTTGTAACCCTCTGAGATGATGTGATTCCGAGGAGCCGATAGCAGATTCCATTAGCCCCAGATCTCTCCATTGGAAGTTATTTTTTTATAATTGAAAAATACACATCTGTAGGGTATAATATTAAATCAGGAGAATTAATGTAATTCCAGGGGCAGTGATTGGACAGCAGCACTCTGCACTTGGAGGTTGGGATATTCAAAAGAGACTAAGGTAGTTAAGTTGAAACTCTCACTGAGACTTGGGCACCTGCCTCCATTAAAAATACTAGTCTTCATCTGTTGATTTCAAAGCACTTTACTACCTTGGGCAAGTGTCCTTGTGCCCATTTTACAGAGGAGGCCAAGAACCCGCATCAAACAGCAGTTTTGAGTACAGCCGCAGACTAGAACCCAGGCTTCCTGAGTCTCAGTCAAGAGCAGGTCTGCTACACCCCATGGCTATTACTTACCGGTGGCTTTTCTTGCTGCTTTCAGTTGCTGCCTGTGTATCCCTATGAAGTGGATTGCCATTACCATGGGAATGTGCCCATTTAGTATAAAACCTTCAGGTGGCAGAACCAAGAAGCGGGATGTGGTTCAGGGGGTCCTCGCCCTCTAACTCAGCAGAACTATTTTCTCTCTGGAAGGCCCTCTTGTAAACTAACCACTGCCAAAGGGAAAGGATTTAGGGACCTGATCCAGAGCCCACTGAAATCAGGAAAGGTTCCAGTTGGCGGCAGCATCATCATCATTGGGCTTTGACTCAGATCCTAGATTAAGAGCAAAATCCACCAGGCTTTTAATCAGCCAGCTGGTGTACTGACCCATCTCTCCTTATTTGATAGTTTTAAGGCTTATGTGGCAGTGAGAAAACAAGGAGAAAGGTTGTTACTGTTGTTATCCCTGTGACTTCCCGCCCCTTCTCCATTGATATTCCCCTGGGAATAGACAAACCATACTGCTTTTTCGTAACAGCATTGGCTGTTAGCTGATGTGCTGAAGATGCAGTTGCTGTATCGCTCCTCCCGATAGCCAGTCCTCTGTGGCTGAGTTTCAAGGAGTTCAGTGATTTGAGCCTGTCTGCACTGAAAACTTACATCACCATGTCTCTCCCTCTCTCAGGGGTGTGAAAAATCCACTCCTGGAGCGAAGCTGTCCTAACCCCTGGCATAGACAGCACTAGATCAAAGGAAGAATTCTTCTGTTGACCTAGCTACCGCCTCTCTGGTGATGTGGATTAACTACAGCGAGGGGGGAAAACCCCTCCTGTAGCTGTAGTGAGTGTCTACCCTGCAGCCCTGCCACTATAGTGTTTTAAGTGTAGACACAGACTGATTTATTATTTGATTACATTAGCGGCACTTCAACAGCTCTTATCTCGCTGATAACACAGCTACATTCCAGAAGCTATCGAGTGGCAAAAGTTCAAAGGAAAGTGCACAGTTTGTGAGTTTGTTGACCTAACGGGTCTTGAGATTGACTAGATGTTCAGAACGTTTCATGTGCATGGCATTTAAAATATAGTGATCATTGAGACTCTACTTGCTTACAGTGGTGATAACCCTTGCATCCTAAGCGATGGCAAATATCATTAGAAACTGCTATATAATGGAATGCCTGCTCACCATCAAGATGCAGCCACCTCTGGAATAAAATACAGCAGCTTTTTTTAATAGCTCAGAGCAACTCTGCACAGTGCTTTGGGACAGGAAGCACAATAGAATAGTGGAGCAAACTGTGCTTTGAAATGCATGGGAGCCGCTCCCGTTGACTTCATTTCGCTTGTGTGATCGAGACCCGAATGTGGCCCACTGCATGGAACTTTATGGAGGCAGGATAAACTTAAAGGAGTTGGCATTGGGTGTTGACGCTGGGGCTAACCCAACTGTTCTTATGACGTGTGTAAGATTTAAAAGACCCTGAGGGGGGAAAAACCCAAAAGGAGTGAAATTACCAGGACTATAGAAATGCAATAGAGCTCTATGAAAATTCCTCTCAAAATGTATGGAATTAAACAGAATCCGAGTAGTAGGCATTGTCCTTCAGTATTTTCTTTTATTCCATAGGCTGTCACAAAGAAATCTATAGTGAAGTGATCATTTTCTGTTAAATTCTGTAGGACTCTTCCACAGCTGTCTCCAATGGGATGATGCAGGCCTGTATTACAATTAGAATTCTGGTTGAAGTCTGTGTTTAAATTTTGGGGGGGAGTTCTGCTCTCAGTTCCACAGGTGGAGCTCCCATGGACTTCAGTGGGAGTAACATCCATGTCACTGAGTGTAGCAGTTGACCTTTGCATTCTAAAATAGCTTCTTTCCATTGCATAATGCTTTAATAGAGTGGCGCGGAGGCAGCTGGACACAGACGAGTCATTGGTTGTCATGTGGCTAAACAAATAGCCAGGCAGGGTGGAGATAATGGCTGGCCGTCTTTAAACAGTTCACATGAACTGAAACTGGGACACCGCTTAAAACCTAGCGTACAAGCAGTATTATGTAGTGCAGGGGAAGAGCACAAGTTTGGGATTCAAGAGACTTTGGCCACATCTTCAGTTGGTGTGAATTAGTCAGTGGTGCTACATCTGTTCACACCAGCTGAGGAGCTGGCTCCGTGGGTTATGTTCCTGGGTCTGCCGCTTATTTTTTTGGACATGGCTTTGGGCAAGTCATGTCCCTGCTCTGTGCTTCAATTTCCCCCTCAGTAAAATGAGGATAATAATCCTTGCTTATTGTACATGATTGATTAACTTGAAATGCTTTGAGATCTCAGGATAATATTGGGGTTTTTTTATGTCAAGTTTTATTTAAAAAGCCACTACTACAGTGTTTATTACAATGACATTGTAATGGTCCCAAGCACTACAGATGACTGTAGTATAGTTGCAGTATTTTGGGTCATTACTGTAGCATTTGTTTTGTTTTCCAAGGGGAGTTACACACCCACGAACAATGGAAATAGCTGGGCAGTGACTCATGGAGGGGCTGGTCTGACTAAGTCGCCAAACTTGGCTACAATAAAGTGCCTTTCCTAAGGGCTTAGTTCCATAAGGGTGTAAGAGGGAGCATTTATATCAGCTGTCTATTTATATCCCCTAGGAGCTAGCCAGTTCACTGTCTTCCTTGTTTAAGCATGGCTTTCATGTTTCTCTTCAAGGCCTGATCCAAAGCTTACTGAAGTCAATGAGAATATTTCAATTGACTCTTGTGGACTTTGAATCAGGCTCTGAGCCCCTGTGGGCCCACTAATATGAATGTTCCTCAAGTTACAAATGAACAGCCTTGCCCACTGATTTGGTGACGTGTTCCAGGATCCTAGTGTTACGCGTTACACCCTGCTTTATCCCGAAATGGGAAGGACCACTGGGTGTTGCTGACCGTGTAGCACAAGATGCTCCAAACAGCATGAAATGATGCTCCAAACAGGTTGCAACTGAGAAAATAATCCATTGAAAGTGGGACTTAAAGGGCTGCCTAATGGACTGTGATGCCCAATTCCCGTTCACTTTAAGGAAATAGGAATTGGGTATTTAAAACATTTTAGGCAGCTTTGAAAATCTCATTCTTAATGCTGAGCAAATATAGACAACAGTAATTGCTAAAGAGTGATCTCCTGGCTGCCTCACATGTCAACACTAGGGTAGGACTGTACCCAGGGCTAGCCCTGGGACCATATTGTACCCCCATGCCAGCCCTTGGGTAGGTACCCAGGAGCAGTACTGAGATCATACTGTGCTTTGTGTGACCACACTGGGACCACACCATGATTTGTCCAAGCTGGCTAGCCCTTAGAAATCCCGGGGCCATTCTTCCTTGTGTAACTGGGGTTGGCTTCTGCAGGGGTTGTTTGTGATGACCTGGGATCTGATAAGGGAAGGATGTATGTTCTCCCGTGAATGGCAAATGGTGGAGATGGAAAAAGACCTTGCCTGTCCAGCCTTCTCTGTGGCCTTGCAGGATTGTTCCCTGCTATGCATGAATGGAGGCAAGTAGTCTCATTCCTATGGATCCACAAGAGGTTACATGTGCACAGCAAGAGCCTATGAGCTGGATCCAGAACACACTGAAGTCCATGGGAAGATGTCTGTTGACTTTAATGGTGTCAGAATCAGGCTTTCTAGTAGAAGCAGCAGCGGTCTATGCAGAGAAATCTCAGCTGTAACTGATGTTGCCCTGACTCTGTGTTTCTCTTTTCCCCAGAGTGGCTGCAGTCTGTCCAAGCTATGATGATCCTCTCCATTATCTTCAGCGTGCTGTCTTTGTTCCTGTTCTTTTGCCAGCTGTTTACGCTCACCAAGGGGGGACGGTTTTACATTACTGGAATCTTCCAGATCCTTGCCGGTAAGTGGGGAGTGATAAATAGGTGACGGCTCGGAGGACATAAAGGGAAAATGCTCTCGGGTGGAGGCATGAGGGCTAATGACAGCCGAGAAGCAAGCTCTTGAATAACAAAGGGGGCTCTGTTTGGCTATTACTTAGTTTTAGTTGACAACGGGTTAGGACTGGGGCAGTGGGAATTGGCTCTTCTAGAAGCTGCAATGCGAAGGCCTCTGAGTTGGCACCTACACTACATGACTGAGGAGAATGGAGCATGAATGGGAAGGCCAATTCTGCCTTCAGACGCATAGGTCTGTAGTCCACTGGTATGTGTGTGTTACGCGGTCCCCGCTCTGTGCCAGATCCACGGAGGTTAGAAGTCTGGTATAGTCCCTGCTAGAGGGCTGCAGCTCAAGCTGCAGTAGCTTCTGCTTTTAGCCATGGAGGTTCCTGGTTCTACCACTGGCGCACCAGCCCTCGTAGGTCCTAACTCCCAATTAATTCGCTGGGAATTACACGTGCTCAGCACCTCTGAAAATCAGCCCCTGCGCCTCTTGGGCTGGGCACTCAATTAATGCCCACTTCACCTTTTGGGGTCTGCTGAGACCACTCCGTAGACTTTTGTACTGTTACAGCAGGGATGAGTTTGGCCCAGTAGCTACATCTTCCTTTTGTTTAGCTGAGAGACTGGATGCTGACAGCTTGCAGAGAGTTAGACTGCCCCAGGGACCTCACCTCTCCTAGATTTCATACTGAACGGAGTTAGGCTTCCTGAACTGATGGCGTGAGACATGTGACTTCTTCCCCAAAAGATGTTCTTTATAGGCGTGCTGTAAGGGGGCACAGTGCTTTCCATCTCAGCCAGGACCACTACAGCTCACAAAATTAGCCAGCCGCTTTTCATATCCAGCTGCATCATCTAAGTCTTGGATATGGTTCAGCTTTGAAAACCTGTTTCTTTTAAATGTAGTTCGTTACGGCTCTTGTTCAGACATAGATGCCATAAACACAGTGGGGTCTGTTAGAAATCATCTGCATAATTCTATACTAGGAAACCTAAGAGTTAAATCAAAAAGAACCAAATTGTGCAAATAGGCTCTTGTGAAATTTATGCTCCCAAAGGAGAACAATCTGAGGATGAGATTCAGGGGCAGAAGCCGCCCTGCTGGCCAGAGCTTTATTTGATACACTGATCCAAAAGCACCTTGGGAGGTGATCCAGAGCTCACTGAGGTTCATGAAAAGGCTCCGAACCAGTGTTAGAATTCTCTCCTTAGTGGCTGGCAAGTGGGCAGGCTGTGAAGAAGGAACTTGGAAAAGTTTAGAGTAAAGCTACGTTGCAAGCGTGGTATGAAATCTATTACACATCCTGTGTAGAAAGCCATCAAGCAGGTGGTGAGCTCATATTGGGCAATGATCTCTGTGTAGAGGCTGTGTATAACTCATTACAGCTCTGGATTCAAGTAAAGAAAATGGATGCTGATCGTTAACGACGCACTCTGCATTAATAATGAAGTTCTCTAATTGAGAATCGATCTAATAGTTCTGACCGCAATGGGCTTCCCTCTCCTTATTGAGTGGTATGGCCTGTGCTATGTTTCCTCCAAAAAGTTGTTTTCTCCTGCTTGTAATTTCTCCAGGCAGGGTTTTTCTGAATATGGTTCTCTTGTTGGTATCGGTCTTTCAACTTCTGCATGTGGGTGAAAAAGGGTTACACTGAAACATGAGGGCTTGATAATTCCGGGGACACACATAGGGATATGGCCTGTTGTTAATGATGGTGGTGAGCAGATGTTGTGCTCAGCACTGTTCAAGACGCAGAAGGAAAAAAGGTATTTTTCCACTGGAGCTTAGAACCAGATCCTGGGGTCCAGCCAGACTGCACAGCTCACCTTCACACCCCAACACCCCCAGCCAGAGAGCTTCCTGCTGAGATAGCCCCCTTTCCTGTAAGAGGGCGGATCAGGGCAGTAAGCCCTGCATGCAGCAGTAAGTGCAGGCAGGGATCGGGCCCTAACTCTGGAGCTTGTAATCCAAATTATCCATGTCCTCGGAGGAACAGGCCTGGCCTCAGCCCAGATCAAAAACCTTTCCAGTCCCTTCTTCACAGCATGCAAACATACCAGCAGCTAGGGAGGAGGCGAAGGGCCTGGTCTGATGCCCTTTGATGAGAATGGGAGCCTTGACTTCAAGGGATGGTTGGGTGTGCGTCGGTTAACTGGCCAAGTCCACTGCCTTGTGGACGCAAGTCCACATCCAGCCAGATGGGCCCCTTGTTGAGGTCCCAGAAGAAGGCAGGGAGTGAATGGGCCACAGCGCTGAACTCCCCTCTTGCCCAAGCCAGGGTTGAGGCAGCTTGTGGGAAGGCAGTGGGGTGGGGGTGCTTGCACCGCTGTTGCCTGCATCTATCAGTTCTGTGGATAAACACAGGACGTCCTTCCCCAGCTCTACAGGTACCACTGCCCTCATACCTTCCCCGTTGGGTAGCCTGGAACTAAATGCTGGCAGCAGCTCCTAAATCAACTCTGTCAGCATCTCTGCCTCTGTCAAAGCAACAGGCTGAAAAGAAATGGATAAAATAATAGAGCTTGTGTGAGTGCTCCTACGTCTGTATGGAGAAGCTCAGAGCAGTTGTTAGGCCTCATTATCCTGAATTTCAGGATAGCTATTAGTAAACAGCAGCTAGAATCCATGTCCTCAGCTCCTTCAGAGCGGTCTGGTCCAGAACTGAGCAGGCATGATCTGAGGAGCAGGCTGGTCTCACCTTGGCCTCCTCCCAGATTTTCTTATGTACCAAAAAAAGGTGGGCTGGGGTTTAAAGCCAAAAGAGCAAATTCCTGTAGCATCCAGTCTTTGTGGATATTAGTCCTTGCCCTCTCTATAGCCTTGGAAAGGCCTCGCTTAGCTCCTGAGGAGCCTTGATTCAGGATCCCTTCAGAAACGGGCCATCGCCTGCCTGCCTCTTTCTTACTAGAGGTCTCGGGCAAGGCTCGTTTGAGCGAAGGAAATTCCATTGCGGCTGAGTGGAGCGGCTGCAAAGTGCCTTTGTGGGAGGTGAGGAGACTCTCTTCCCAGACACGTCGTTCAGCCCTGGCACTGTCTGTTCAGATGATCCTGCTTCCAGGGCAACCCGCTGACTGGGTGACTCACCCAGGCAGGGCCAAGATCCACAGTGTAAACTCCTCTGTTTGTGGAGCCTGACTCACCAGCCACGCTGAGGCTGAAGCCAACGGGCTGTCCAGTGCAGGATCTCTGATGTTCCCAAACGGCTGCGCTGGTCCCAATCCGTGCAGGGCCTTTCAGCTGGGAGGAGACGCTCATCTCTCACCATTGCTGCTGCTTTCTGGTGAGGTGACCCAGCCCATAGTCCCTCCATGTGTCTCTGCCTTGTGGGAAGCATGGAATTGTAAGCATTGGGGATAGACAAAACTTATGAGTTCACATCTAGCCCCTCCTCCTGGGCCGGTGCTGGGTACACCTAGAGCATGTTCCCAAGGACCCATGCAGTGAGCCTCCTTTTAGGAGATTATTCCAGCGTCTAGATCTCACTGTTAGGCAGAGTGTCAGGAAAAGCTTCCTAAAGATTCCTTGATGTGAGTTCAGCCCTGTTACTCCTAATTCAGACCCCTTCTGCCACCCTTAAAAACTCCTCCCTATCTATCATGGGTGTCTAAACACTGGAAATATTTGTAGAGGGATTCCACACACAGTGTAAGTGTGAGAAGAATCAGGCTATCGGCAGACTGAAAGAACCTTTGCAAGTCAATGCTTCCAGCCCCTTTATCATTTTTGTTCTTCTCTAGACTTCATTTGTCTTTTTTGTTCCCTAGTGCCCAGGACTGCAGTCAGTACACTTGGCTAATTTGTGGGTTAGGCTCTGTTAGATACAAACTGGTTTTACTGACGGACTTTTGCATTCCATGCGCCTCAAGGCATTTTGCAAAGCCCTGAGATGAAAAGGTGGCTGTGCAGTCAAACACAGCAGCCATTGCCCCCAGCAATAGCTCGCACACAGCTTTGGGTGCTGGAACACCTTGTGTGCAACAAGGGGATGGCAGACAGGGTACCAGGGTTATCTTGCTCCTCAAAGACCGGTGAGAGCAGACAAGGAACTTGAGTTAAACTGTCTTCTGAAGGACAGTTCCTCTGACCATACAAGGGGAATGCTAGTGTTGAAGCTCCCAAAAGAGAACATTGGCTAGAGCCCAGCATACATGTTTTCCCCATGCTGTGCTATCCCAAATCCCAGCAACCCCGGTCTCTTTCAAATGGGAGGCTAGACTTAAAGTTCTTCCTAGTTCATGGCTGTTCTAGCCTGGTAGTTGCCACATCAGGCTGCCATGAGGTACAGAAGATAGGGTATCAAGAGCAAGGTATGGTCAGGATAACCTTACAGTACTTCTACGTGCCCTTCTGTCTAAGGATCTCAAAGTGCTTTTCAGACATCAGGGAATTAAGACCTCACAACGCCCCTTGGAAGATCAGTATTCACACAAATGCATGTGCCTTTGTGCACTGAACGGCACCATCAGGTGGCTGAAAATCAAATCCCAAAGGAGTTGCACAAGGTACACATTGGAACGGGAAAGTTCTCTTGATACCCTACCCTGAAATTTACTCACGGGAGTATATTCCCAGGGTCAGAATCACTAATTCTGTATCTCCAAGAGAAACGCAGGCATTATCTCTTCTACCAGATTCCTTCAATGGACAATTGACTGCAGTATTTTTAGCCATCCGTAGGTGGCTCTGGAATGGTCGCTTGCTGGTTTTCTATCCCACCAGAGTCGAGAGACAATCATTTTGCTTTCTCTGCATGGGCCAGTGCAGTAGGAGTTCTCTTCTGTGTACAGAAAATAGAAACTGCATTCAGCAGCTTATTAATTAAACATATTCCCACTTCTGCACTTTCTGTGAACAAAGGAGCAGTGTGAAGTGAAATAACAGCTCAAATAGCACTGCGGTTAGCTGTAGGAGGTCCTGATGCCCAGTGGAGAGATTTGGAACAGAGTTGGCTTCGATAGCACCGTGAATGGATAATGGAATTGCGGGCATCAACTAAAAGCCCTTGTTTTTGGTGGGGGATAGTGGTGGCTTTGTGTGAGCACTTTGCAGCCCCCGATGTGGATATTTTTTGCGACACTGCTGGAGTGTCGGTCGATGCTGTGATTCAGAGGGATGAATCACAGCATCGACCGATTCAGGGGTAGTCCCACTGTAAACACAGGACTCCCCGGCTTGGTCCTTGGCAGCCCTGAGCTTGGGGAAGCTGGGGAATAGAGACAGTATACTCATCCCATGACAGACGGAAAATCTTCCCAGGGTGGCAGTGATGTACTTTGGACATTATGTTCCTCTCTCCTGCCCCCAGCTGTGAGCTGATCAGAGAGCATGGGGAGGAGACTCGGAGGGGGACCCAGAGCACACCTCTCCCAAATAAGCTTGGATAAGGGCCCATTTTAAAGAAAGCTTAGATTTCAAATGCAAAACGGCTCTCTGCATCACTGCACCAGCAGGTGTGGCGTGACCTTGGGAAATTCTGTGCCTCTTCCTCCTAACACAACGCACAGGAATTTGCAAATGAATCTACACTCCTGCCATATTGCTCAGAGAAAAGACCTAAACATCGAATATCCCATGTACCAGATCTGAGGCCCATTGAAATCATTTGAGATATCTAACCCTGCTGTGAGCTTTAACTCCTCAAGACACAAAGTGTTTCCTCCTGGCCTGGTGCTGTAGTCGGGACGTTGGTTCATGCACTCTGCAGACCCTGGGTTTGGATCATGTGAAATAGGAGTTGGCTGGAGGATATCACAAAACTGGGCATGACGGGTGATCTCTCCTCTAGAGAGGCTCAGGAATTGTAAAATAGGCAAGTGGTGCAGACTGGGATTGAGGAGCATTGGCAGAACTGTCTATGAGGATCTTACACAGTAGCTGTCTACACTGTGGTGGGGTCACTAGCTAGATTATGCCGCCCTTATTCACCCTGGTAAGCACTTTGCCCTATTAACTTCAGTGGGACTATCCCTGTGAGTGAATATTCACCCCCCCAAGAGTAGGGGTTACACAAACGATATTGCCTTTTAATAGATCAGATTCCATGAGCAGGTCTCGGGGGTATGATTGCCAAGCTTGATTGTATGTCAGTCCAAAAACCACAAATACAGAGTGCCGATCAACTCCTACATTCTTAAACCACAGCCGTTTTGTTTTTTTTTCCAGCTGCATCCCCATACACCCAGATTTTCGATCAGGCTTCTCTGTTTGTGGCGCATGGTTATAGGTTGGATGGGTGGGTTTTTAATCCGTGCTGTTCAGCATTATCCCTGCCAGCATCACCGGCCAGGAAAGCGAGGGCAGTTCTTGCATTCTACAGAGCATCCACAGTGCAGCTTGTTCCATATTTACTTCTTCTCCCTAGGCCTGTGTGTGATGAGTGGTGCAGCCATCTTCACTGTGAGACACACGGACTGGCAGCCCACCACAAGTGATACCTCCTTCGGCTTTGCCTACATCCTGGCTTGGGTGGCCTTCCCACTGGCTGTCATCAGCGGGGTGATCTACGTCATCTTGAGGAAGCGCGAATAATGAAGCATGAGGCGGGGGGGCCAAGACAAGGCACTCATGACATCCATGGAGGGGATTGAGGCAGGGGAAGAAAAGACGACAAAACGGGGGGAGGAGGGGGGTGTTAACCAACCCCCCACCCCCTCAAAATAAAAACCCAACAAAAAAACCCAAAAGGAAACACACCAAGGGTTACTGTGTTAATTGAAGATGTATATAGTATCTATGGTTTAAAAAACCTATTTATAACACTTTTTACATATATGTACATAGTATTGTTTGCTTTTGTTGACCATCTGCTATGTGTTAAAGCCTAAAGAAAGTGCCTAAAGAACTATTACTCCTAACAGTGTAACAAGAGCGCAGTATTTTTTGTCCTTGTTTTTGTTTTACCCTCAATGCGAATGGAATCTTCTTTGAAAGCTCCCGCCCCAAGGCAACCCACCAAAGAAACCCCAACTCAAACCAGATCCCCAGATGAGGTAAATCAGTGCTGCTCCAATGGCTTGAATGGAGCGATGTCCATTTACACCAGCTGAGGATCTGTCCCCTCCCACAAGTGCCATGATCCTATTGCCTGAAGCGTGTGAATAAATATCATGCCTCAGGAGCCAAATTTTCAAACCACCTAAGTGATGTAGGAGCCCAAGTCCCATTAGCTTTCCAACCACACCCAGTTGGGAACTTGGGTTTTTAACTCACATAGGCACATTTAAAAATGTTACCTACCAGTTCCATTGAAATGTTACTGTAACTAGTGTACCTTTAACTTCGTTTTCTTTTGGAAGTTTCCCCTTAGAACATCAATGCTTTCCTGTGTTAGGCCTTGTGTATAACAAACTCTCATGTACCCATCCCCACACACCCAAACCACCCAAGAACTGTAGCCTATGACCTTGAAATGTATTTTTTCCTTGCCGTGTAGATAAAGATGGGAAAGAATCAAACAATATATATCTATGAAATAAAATACCAAATATGTGAAATGGTGCTATCTATTTGCCATTCCTTATATCACTAGCCATTTAACCTTACTCACTGGAAATTCAGTTAACAATTTTATGAGATAAACAAAAGATAGAAATGATAAATAATTCTATGTAATATAAGTGGTCTATAACTGCTTTTGTACTTAGACAAGTTGCTCTTAGTATTATTGTTAATAAAGCATTTATAACCAATTTTTCCCCCCTCATGGTCAGGAGTAGCAGAAACAAATCTCTGGATGGAACCCATAGGTCTTCAGAGACTGGCTTCTGTAATCCTCTTTCTGTGCTTCAGAGGTGTGTCTGGCAATGAATTGTATGGGCATTTTACTGTAGATTCATATACGGTGCCTTCTGATGCTAAGACTCCAGACATTCTGTTGTTTTGTTTTATTGTTTGTTGTTTTTTTTGCTTTGCTTTTCTGATTTTATACCGACTGTGTGGACTAAGCAGCAATGAAATAAAAGTCAGAATAACTCAACTGGTTCAGCTTTATTTATTTATTCAGGGCTAGATTGTGAATTCACCAAATTGATCTACTTACAGGCCCCTGCCGTAGCATCTGAGCACCTCACGATTGTTACTGGGTTTGAGCCTCGCACCAGCCTACCATGTAGGGAAGTATCCTCCCTGTAAAGTGGACATTGCTCCGGGGCCAGTAGGTGTAGTGGTCAGGCTGCAGCCAAACAGTCTCCAGGTCTTGGGATGGGCTTTTCTGGGTAGCCTCGGGGGCCCAATGGTCAAGTTAGTTTCTTTTCCCCCCCTCTGCCCAAGTCCTCCAGGTCTCTCAGTAGGCTGGGGGAGGAAGGAAGGATAGGGACACCCGGACCCACCCTCTCCACCAGGTCTGGGCCTGGTCCAAGGTGAGGAGAGGCAATGGGGGCTCAGTCCCTTCTGGCTGCTACTTGAGATCAGCCTTCCCTGGGCTGCTTCCACCTTTCCTGTTTTCCCTTCAGGTTGGGGCATGGCCCCACTCCTCTACTTCAGTCTCAGCCATTTCTAAACCTGAGGGGGGTGCTTCCTAGCTCTCTCAGTCCAGTTATTCCTCCTGGTCAGGTCCTGGTCTCTTGGCCAGGTCTTATAGTCCTGATCCTTGCCCCATGGATCGCTCTGCCTCTGTGGCTGCAGCCTCTCTGCCATCTTGCTGTCCTCTACCTTAACCTTACCCCCGCACCCACAGTTCCACTGCCAGAGCTCCTGGTCCTCCATTGGCAGCTGCTGAGGGACATGGCTTTGGCCCAGTACTGCTTTACCACTTCTTTAACCTTCATGTGGGGGCTGGACACTCTATCACACCCTGTCTTACAGATGGAAACTGAAGCACAGAAGAGGTGAAGTGACTCGGTCATGCAGGCAGTCTGCGGCCAAATTTGGAATTGAACCAGGTCTCCTGAGTCCCAGTCCAGTGCCTTAACTATTAGGTTAAGGTCCTCACAGCTGAACTATTAGGTGTTCCTCCTAATGGGGGGAGGGATAGCTCAGTGGTTTGAGCATTGGTCTGCTAAACCCAGGGTTGTGAGTTCAATCCTTGAGGAAGCCATTTAGGGAACTGGGGCAAAAATCTGTCTGGGGATTGGTCCTGCTTTGAGCAGGGGGTTGGACTAAATGACTTCCTGAGGTCCCTTCCAACCCTGATATTCTACACTAGACAGCTTCAAGAGGAACCCAGGTGCAGGTGTGTGCTGCTGCTGCTTCTTAGCATATGCACAACATGCCTCAGGTGGCATGTGACCAGGATTCATCACCGAATTTGGTCCACTGGTTGGATCATTAGCTTCCCTGGGCTGGGCCAGGTACTGACTGGGAGTGGAACTGCACTTAAAGCCTATTTCCTATCAGAGCCAATGGGTGGAGAGGGTGTAGCTAGTCCCCACTGCCTGGTACCATGTTATCCTCACAGCTGAAGTAGTACGAGAGGGAGCATTGTAAGGTTGTACTTGGATGGTCTCCTGAGCATGGGGACTGCTCTCTGCTGATGCCCATTGGGGCACTAGGCACCACCAAAGGAGATGGTGAGAGGTGAGGGCTGCTGATTGGGTGGATGCAAAGGAGCATGCGGCATTCTGTAAAGGTGTGTTGTAGGAGATCTGGGAAGGATTTTGCTTTCTTGAGGTGTAGCTCTGCATGGAGCCTAACTTCAGCTGTGTGAGCAATGGCAGATCTGTCTTAGGGAAGAGAGGCACATGCACCAGCCAGCCTGTGTCCTGAAGTTATGGGTGATGCTGCTTTGCACCTGCATTGCTGGTTTATATTGGGCCTGTCTTTGTTTCCATCACATGGCAAAGCCTCAGTCTGCCATGGTTAAGATTTTCCCAGCCTCACTCACTCCCTTTTCCAAAATGATGGGTGGGGCTATACAAATCAATAAGTGTGACATCACTAGCAAGCTTTGGGCCTTGGCAGTTCCTCCATGGACAAGCATTTCTGCTAATGTGCTGGTAACATGAGCCAAAGTGCCAAGTCCCGAGGATGCAGTTAGGAAGGTGACTTAGGGGTTTAGCAGGTTGTGAACAGAATGTACTGTCTTAGTGGCTAGTGGTGAAACATTCACACTTCCATTCACTCGTTGCTTTTGGCTGCTGAGAATCTGAGCTCATCTAGCAAGGAGATTGGCAGAGACACAATGGCACACTGTGGGCCAAGTCCTGAGGCTAGTTATAAATACTGGGCCAAATCCTGAGGTCTTTACTTTGCATGTACTCAGTCCCTACTAGGGTTGCCAGCTCTCCAGGATTGTCCTGGAGTCTCCAGGAATTAAAGATTAATCTTTAATTAAAAAGATTGTCATGATGAAGCCTCCAGGAATGTGTCCAATCCAAATTGGCAACCCCATTCAGAGTTTACTTAGCCCTTGCTCATAGAAGTCAATGGGAATTCTGAATGAGTAAAGACTGAATTAGAGCTGAGTAAGGAACTCACGATTTGGACCAGGGTGAATGAAGGAGCATTCCAAAATGGTCACAATTTATTATCATTAGTAGTGATAGTATTACAGTAGTCGAGGAGTCCCAGTCATGGACCAGGTGCTGTGCATTATTGCTATTTATGGTAATGCCTAGAAGTACCAGCCATGGACCAGGCCACAACTGTGCTAGGCACTGTACATTATTGTAATTTATTAGATGTATTATAATAGGTCCTAGGGGTCCCAGCCGTAGATGAGGGCCCTGTTGTACCTTCTTATTGCTATTTCTGAGGTGTATTACAGTAGCATTTAGGAGCCCAGTCATGGATCAAGACCCTGTTGTGCTAGGCATTGTCCAAATACAGAACCGCAACCGTTAGTGTGGCTTGAAAACAGGTGGGGTTGTCCTGTGACAGGACAATTCCTGAGGAGCAGTGGAGACACACAAAGCACTGAGGCAGGAGGTGCCTTGTCTCTCATGCCCTCTGTGTGGTCCAACAGCCTGAGCTCCTAGGCTTGACCCAGATCCTTAATGGTCTCAATGGGGGGTTTGCATGTAATACCTTTGAGGGTCTGGGCCTGAGGTCCAAGGTCACATAGGAAATCTGTGGCAGGACAGAGATTCAAGGCCTAGGTTAGGCAGCACCTAGCTAAGAGCAGGGCTCCTTTTGCTCTATTGAAAGTCTTCTGCCTCATCTAGAACTGGTCAGAAAACTGATATTTTTATCCCCCATTGGTAATGTTGGGAAAAATGTTGGGATTTGGATTGACCTTTCGAAGGAAACAAAAACATTCATTTTGCTTTAACTTAAACTACCGTTTTGTTTCAGTTTACAAAAGTACCTAAATGAGACGATAGGTTAAGTCAAAACTCATTTTGTTGCTTCTAATCAACGTTTTGACATAAAACGTTGTTTTATTTCGGCGGGGGGTGGGGTTAAACCGAAACAAAATAAAATTTTGTCGATGCTAAAGGAACATTCTTGCTGCCTTTCAAAAGGTTGATTCAGAACAAGAATTTCCTCTTCAACGTTTCCCACAGGAAACTGCACAATTTTTGTTAGAATTGACATTTTCCAGTGAAAACAGGTTTTGAGGAAACCATATTGTTTGGCGGGAAAATGTTCTGCATGAAGGATTTGCACCAGTTGTATTAATACATTGACCACTGACGGGTTACTGGGCTAGATGGACCTTTGGTCTGACCCAGTATGGCCATTCTTATGTGTGTCTCCCTGTCTGTATCCTTAATATGCCCATCACCATCGTGTCATGGCACGGGACTGCATCCTCTGGCAGCCGGCCTGGGTGTGGTGCAGTTTGCTTGGTCCCCAGCGGCTAGCCTGGCCGCTCTCACACAGCTCCGGCAGCTTTTGGAACTTCGCGGCCCATGTTAGGAATGGCTGAAGGAACCTTGTTTTTCCTGGCAGGGCTGCTAGGGCTTCTGTGCTCCCCAGCACCTAGCTAAGAGCAGGGCTCTGATTAGGCATAGGGGCAGGGTCATTTGGGTGCAATGCATCCCATTGCTGCTACAGGAATAACAGGCCCTTGTAAGAGCAAGAGAAACAGTTGGTCATTCTGTATGACAGGTTTTTACCAGGAACTTTGTGCAGGCTCCAGGTTTTCTTCTCTCTTGCATGGACATAGCCTTCTTTCATCCTGACCAAGAACGAATCACTCCCCCACTGAAACGCAGACTCCTCTGGGGTGGAGCCCGGCAGCCAGGAGGACAATGTACGGTGTAATGGCCAAGGTGTGGGGAAGAATAATTTGGGGCAAGACAAATCCCTGCTGATATAAGTCTCATGAGATCTCTAATGAGATTGTTTTATTATTATGATAGCACTTATGAGACCCAGGCGTGGACAAGGACTCCGTGGTGCTGGATGCTGTACGGACATACAAAGCAATGGGACGGCCCCTGCCCCAAAGAGCTTACAATCCACATACCAGACCAGTGATGACAGGTGGATAGAGGGAACCAAGCGAGGTGAACCATGGACTACGTATTGCAGTTCAAAAACCAGATATTTAACGCCCCCTCCAGGTACATATGATAGTTTCTATAAAGGCTAGTAGAAAAAATCCTAATTAATTTCCACTACATTTTAAAAACAAAATGAACATTTTTCATTTCATTTTGAATTTTTTTAGAGATTTTTTGTTTTTAATGAAAAAATGCAAAACAGAATGAAAAGTTCCATTTCTTTGTCCAGTTTTTTATTTTTGCCCCCACCCATGCCCCTCCTTTCTATCTTTTTTTGATCATCCTTTTGTTCTGGGTTTATACAGCGCCTGGCACAAGAGAGCCTGGGCTATGGTTAGGATTCCTAGGCACTAGTCTAATGCAAATATTAATAATAATAAGGCAATTTTTCCTCAAAAAAACCTTTTCGACAAGCTATAGGGTCATGAGCGCTCCAGTTACAGTTGCAATTCAGTTTTAACGGTAACCCTCTTTTCACTTTCAAGTCCTTCAAAATTCTCTTCCGAGGCTGAAACATTCCATGACATTTGAGCAAAAACCGCCTTCCATTTTTGAGTTAAACAAACAAGAATGTAGCTGTTTACATTAA